TGCGCTTTTCCATGCTAGGTCCTGGGCACGGGTCTTCCTATCAGTCTGGGTTCAGTGGAGGCGAAAGGATTCCGCTAGTTCCAGCCCAGAAAGACCGCGCAAGCCAAAGGCAGAAGTTCTGCTGGTGCCAGCCTATGAGGCTGGGCCGCCACTGTTGTGGGAAGCTGTTGACAAAGACTTGTTGATTGCAAGGTTCAGGTTACCTCTTCGAGGACTGAAGTGAGTCCCTGCACGTGCACAACTGCAAACTGTTTGTCTCGCAAAAAGCAATTTCTTCTGTCTTCTGCGTCCTGCCAAGAGGAATCCACCGCTTGCTGAAATCAGCATTGATGTGGCGGCATCCCTGCGCTCGACAGCACCAACCCGCTTGGCAATAGCAGCTTTGCTATGATTGGCGACATAATTTGGTTTTGCTCTATATGGATTGGCAGGTGGCGCCAGCAGGCTTTCACTTTCTGGACGACTGCCTGGGCATAGTCAGCGCCAGTGCCTCGACGCGCCACCACAGTTTGAGCTGTTGTGGCTTCTGGGTTTTCAGGCCAAAGTTGCGCGCTGCTCGCTAACGTTTGTGAACGGACAGGACGAGGGCCATGCTGTTGCAGGGGTTCTTGAGACTGCCGCCTTGTGGTCAGCAGATAGAGTCAGCAGGCGCAGTCCAGATGTTAGCAGAGTCCAGCAGTACTCAAAGCGTTCAACTTGAAGGAGGCGGCAGACCTCGTTCCGCACGATGAGTATTTCACTGACCTGCAAGGGCTCAGCCTCAAGGCGATCCGGGGGGCTGTAGCCGCCCTGCCTGTCTGTTGCAGTTGTAAAGGCCATGCATGAGGAGGCATGAGGCTATGCGATTCCCGCCCTTGGAGCAGGGAAGCTTCTCTTCAGGTACGCACGCCGGCAGAAGCTCCAGCACAATCCCCTTGGCTGATAGTAGGCTGGATCCGAGGCCGCTCAACTGCAGTTGTTTATTGAAAGCTTGGCAATCATACATTGAAAATCTTCCGCCGAGCCTTCATGAAAGCAGGCGAATTGGTTGGCTGGGGAGAGGCCTTGCGACGCATTGCGGTAGCATCTTATCCAGTGAACATGAGCCTGCGTTCAGGACAAGTTTGGTGTTGGTGTGACGCAGATGCGCAGTGCGCAGCTCTCATATGTTTCCTATCTCCTGATGGACCTTGACTGTCGTTCATGGGTCTTTGCCGTAAGCTTCCGATTGCTTTTTCCCCTGCAACAAGGCAAGGGTAATTTATCCAGCTTCCCCTGATGCGACAGCACAGCTGGTTGTGAGGCTGGTAAAGCTACAGTAGTGTGCACCGTAAACGCTCATCAAGTGCCTTGGAGGCTACGTCTCCGCGATGAGCTGGCGCCAGGAGGAAGCTTGCAGTCTCGACCCTGGAAAGCCCGCGCAAAAGCAGCCTGATGCAGTGTGACCAGATGTGGCGTTGAGCTGGCGTTCGCAGGTTACTGAATCCCCCAGAGCTTTTTCTCAATTGCTCAGGACGATTCTTGTACGGGAATGGTGTATGGTGTAGCGTGTGTCGTGCAGTGCACTGGTGCAAATGAAGCCCGTGTGTCCTGAAAGCGAACCGCTGCTTCGAGGAGGCGAACTGCAGGAGATATCGTTGCCGATCGAAGGTGTGGCCAAACGAGCTATTTTGGCTCCATACAACATGGCTATTTCCCATATGCGCGAGGTTGTACAGCGGAGGCAGGATCTCTCATGCTGCTTGCTCCCCAGCCGAGAAAGCAAGTGAACGCTCGACTTCAGCAGCGCTGCTACCATGTTGGCCCCAGCTGAGGCAGCTGTCAGCTGGCTTAATGCCAGGAATTTATGCATTTGCGCCACCCCGAGACGTCTAACTTGGGCCTTGCTTGTGCTAGTTAGCCAGAAACAACTTCAATGCTAAGATTATGTTTCAGGCGGTTGGGGCACAAGTGTCACTGGCTCAACTGCTTGATTTACATCTTGGCAACCCGAAATGTGACACGGCCAAAGGCCATCCAAAGCTCCCAAGACCAGCACGTTTTCCTTGCTGGTGTTGGGTCCGGGCCCGGGTCTTGAATCTCTCAATGCCTGCAGCTGGGAGATTCAGGTCCCGGTGGCATCGTGCAGGATGCAAGCACGACAATAGAGGGTCCCACGCTCAGACGTGGGGGGCGAATCCACGCAGCCATCGTCAGCAAACTTGCAGGCACTGGTTCTGTTTGCTATCTTAAGTTGCTAAGGCCCGCAGCTACAAAGTGAGCTGTATTTGCGGCCTCGTCCTTTGAACTGGACTGCCCAGAACCCAGAGGGGATGGTTTGCAATGCAGAGAAAAAATCCTTTGCTGCTTGATTTAATTTTTGAGGCTGCAGAAGCCGGTCAGGCCAGCAGCGTTGTACTGGGACCTGGGACTCAGCATTGTCAATTGTCACGGAAGAGGACGGACTTGCTATGCATCACGAGTGTCACTGAGGTTTCAAGGTGCGACAACAAGTCAAGCGAGGGTTGGTCGAGTCTGCAGGAACCCCGGCTCTGCACATGGATAACTTTTCAGGACTGCCCACCATCTTCCGTGTCTTCTTGCGGAGGTCTTGATCACCATGGCTGAACATTTTGAGCACACGTCCGGAGCTGAATTCAGACCGATTCCTGATTTGATGCTGCTAGCTAGAAAGCTCAACGTTGAATGGCAATCTTGTTACAAGTCCTGGCAAAGGTTGGAAAGTCCACAAGGCATCGAAATCTTGAACACAAACCTGCCGCTGTCACGCAGCCATGGCACAACTGGCTGGGCAGACATCCGTATGGCTTGGCTCTCAATTATGGCAGGGCTCACTGCAGTATGCACAGTCTTGGGGCGGAGAGCTCAATTTTCTGGCGTGGGCGAAGTCTCCATGCAAACTCTCAGGCAGATCGTGTATTGATTCACTTGGACCAAGCGCTGCCTTTGCCTCCCGGCAACTATGCACCGCGTCCGCAATCAAGTTGCGGCAAGCAACAGCTTTGCAACCACAGCGGCTTTCTCTGGCTGCTGTGCAGCATGGCAGTCTCGAAAGAATCGTGGAAGGACTTCCGCATTCCCATCACCGTGCCAGAGGAGCTCTCGGAATCTTGGCTGCATGATGTTATTGACGAGGTGCATGCCAGTGCATGCCTTCACTTGCCATTGCAGAATCTTCAGACATTGATGATCCGGCATCCCGTCAGAATCCACCGTTCAATAGTAAAGTACAAATGGCCTTGAGAGCGCATAGGCTGATCGACCAATGCAGCCCTTAATTCAGGAATCCCAAAAACCCCCCTCTTTGCCTAAACCCGTTGCAGAAGCGGCGCTATTTGGCAGAAGCGCAAAATCGTCAACGCGCTGTGTGGAGGGCCCAAGCATCCCAACAGCAATGCCCACCCAATCTTACTGGTGCCACATGGGAGCCTGCGGCCTTGTGCCCGTTTGCATTGACAGGAGGCCCGCGCATTGTTTTTACCTCTGGAACATGCTGCAATCCAGTCAACAGTCATTCACCGTGCTGAAATGGGCCCGTGCGTCAGCGTGCATCAGCAGGTATCCCAGTTTCCACTAGGTAATTTGTCCCGTGGGCTTCGGTATAGACCGCCACGCAGCCACCCCTCGTTGTGGATGATGGATGCATCAGGGATGGCAGAACACGCCGCCCCCCCCACGCACAGGCACCTTTTCAAACAAGCCAGCGATCCTAGAAGAGATGAGTGATAAGGCCCACTAACAGGGCCTAAGATGTAATTGCCACCCGAGATTATTGGCGGAGTTCCTTGCCAAGGTTCGCGTACTTCTTGCCCTCAGGAGCTTAGATATCCCGAGGTATGTAATTGTGGCCCGAGATCTTTGGGGAAATTCGTGGCAAGGTTCACATCTTCTCTCTCCAAGGATTCATTGTTTTGTAAAACCATCAGCGCCGAATGTGGGAACTGCACAAAAACGTTCAAGCACCGCAAGCAAGGCATTCAATGTGTGGCAGCTGACGCTGTGCAAGCCAGGAGGCCACAAACTCAAACTCGCAGACATGCACAGCAGCTCGAATCCTTTGATGGCAAGACCTGCGTGATAGAGCTGCCCAGGCACAGCTGAGCCGTGCTCTGTCGAATCACCACGCGCGCTGATGACGTTACTTGGATTGACTTGATGCTTCAAGAAGCTGAATCACACGGAGGCTGATTCACACTTGACAGATTTCGTATACCAGTACTCGTACCAGGTGAGTGACTTGATCATGAGCTGGCCAGCTTGAGAAGGGCAGCACTGAGAAAGATCTGATTTGACACGACTTGTGTACAAAGCTGTCTTGCGATCGTGACCAGGTTTCCAGCAGCTGGTTTCGGTCCTTGCCTCAGCCCGCTCATGCCCTGCGACCTTCCCCAAAGCTGAGACCACACTGCTTGGAGAATTGGGAAGCCTGTCTCCACCATGAAGTACTTTCTGCTTAATGACTACAGCTGCACCAAACCAAAATAGTAGGTTCCATCTGCCGAAGTGTAAAGGCCGGTTACCGCTTTCAAACCTTGCAAGCAAAACAACTGTTTTTTCGTCGCATCAGTTACTACTTGGGCCTGATTCTTGCTGATACCAGAGTTGTAATACTTGCCTGTAGCTATGGTATATAGGAATCTTTCAACTTCAAGGCTTCAAGCTTTCGTGCACTTGGTGTCAGCTGACATTCCATGAACGTTTCGGAATGCTTCATCCGTGTGGGAACCTTTGAGGCTCAGCACGACATAGAAGTGCCATGACTAATGATGAGCCCGATGGTGTTCGAAAGAAGGGCGAAACAAATACGTGAAAAGGCACGACGCAAACGCATCTCAGCCCAAGATTGACAAAGCTGCAATCTAAAAGTGCGGGTCGAACATGCATTGAGAAGCTATAAAGCGCTGGACATTTTTTAGCAGGAAGCAAGCTGCCAGGCTCAAAGGATTTTATGGCAAGAAAGCTCAATAGTCTGCATCCAGGGCATTGGGTCTACATCCAGGTTTCGGCCATGTCGGGAGCGAATGGAGAACACACACTTCTCGGCGTTCTGCACTGGCTTTGATGACTTGGAAGGTGCCTCGACTGAAGCGCGCGGGGTTGGAGTGGCAATTTGGAACCACAAGACTTTGGCCAAGGGACACGCTCATGGATCAGACTGCTGCATGTCAGGACAAAAAGAATTCAGCAGCATTTGCTGCATGCGGCATGCATGCTAGGCAGTCTTCACTCAGGCCATGTGAGATACATCTTTCAAGTCGTCCACATTCCCAGCGGATGTGCTTGGAAGGCCGCAGTCTAAAAGGATAAGGAGGAACTGGATATTCTTTGAAAGCCACCCCTAAGTGCAGGTGCATCGCCGGTACCGAGAGATGCTCGCTCTCCATGAGCAGCTGGCAGGTCAGCTTTGTATGCGAGCAAGTCACAATTCGTGGGACCCTTTGAGAGATTTGACAGGTACAGCCACCGATCTGCCAGAGTTCCCTCCCAAAGCACTGAATGCCTGGAGCTGGATATTGGGCGAAGACGTTCCTGTGCAGATCTCCGACCAAATTTAGACCGTGCCAAAGAACCCAACGTCACTCTCTGAGCCGCATGCTGTCAGATGGTTTCAGGCGAGTGTCTTCCTTTCAAACGTGGCTTATCTGCAAGATGCTGCTGCGAGGCAGCGTGACCAGTAAGAGCAAACCTGCATCGAAGGGAAAAGGAGAGTCAGAGTGGCCTGCACTCGGCAAGGGACCAGATGAAATAGAGCGTGCTAGGCACGCACATTTGAAAGACTGATCGTTGAAATGGCAGCATAGTCATTGGCTGCCGCACTCGCATCTTCTGTAGATTTACAAGGTACTTCGCACAGCTACTGGCCCGTGACGACCTCACACGACGCCCAGCGACGCAGGCAGGGTACATCCATGCCGTGTGAGTGTTTGCAATCACTTTTTTGAGAAGGTTCCCCATTTCAGGCTCGAGTGGTTCGAAACGCTTTTGGCGTGCAAGGTATGCCAAATCCAAAGTAGCGAAGTTCCTCCTTCTAAGGCGCTGCTCGGCGTCCAACGGCCGGATCCTGTCGCCGTGGTCGTGAGCAGGTGAGCAAATAGATAATTTATGGTATGAGTGCGCTTTGATAATAGGCAGGCGGCCGCAGGCCAAGCAGTGGCTCAATGCTGTAGAATAGAGCCATGAGCTCGGACAACAAGTGCGGTGTCAGGTGGAGAATGGAGCCGGATGCATTCCGGGCAGACGTTGAGCTGTCTGTAACCTGCGATGCCTTCTCTCCACGAGAGACAGGCGGGCCCTGGATTTGCATTATCGTTATCAGTATTCATATAGTATTAATACCGTTATTATTCTTACTATTACTGGTATTAAAACGATTATTGCTGTGAGTATTTAAGGGGCTGCGCCCAGGAGCGGGCAACGCAGGCAGCATGAAGAGGGAGTGCTTCAGTGCCCAACCGATTTTCTTGGGTTCCCTCTCAAAACACCTCGGGCCCAGAACCTGGGTTTGGGCCAGATGTGGTCACTTTTGGTGCTTTTCGTCGTTGTAATAGTAATACTACTAGTAGTAGTAGTAGTAGTAGTAGCAGCAGCAGCAGTAGTAGTAGTAGTGGTAGTAGTGTGTTGTGGTCACTTTTGGAATGAAACCCTTCCAAGAACACTTTAAAATGAACACATCTGGCCCAAACCCATGGTTCTGGGCCCCGAACCATGTCACTGTTGGTGTAAACCCATCCCAAAACAACCCAAAACGACCACATCTGG